ATTACACTATAAAATAAAAATTATTAAATAAAAAGCACATGAACTTTTATTTTTTAATTCAAATTATATTACACTATAAAATAAAAATTATTAAATAAAAAGATCTTTAATATTAAAAATTTTATTATTATTATTATCCAATCTAATATAATTTAAATTATATAATAATTTTTTTTTTTGAACATTTTGACACGAGACGGGTTCGAAACCCACCCAGGGGAGGGAAGAATGCTCCTAACAAGTTGGTTAATGTCAGTGAGCCTCTAAGCCCAGGTGCATATAATAATTTTTTCTTATCCATATAATATAAAAAATTATTATCTTAACATATATATACAATCGAATTAGGATACCTAAACAGACGAAAAGAGTACAAATAATTTATATCATAGTTGGAGACCAATCTAGTATATCTTATCATTATTTTACTAAAGATTTACCTTTTCAAAGAGGGAAGCATGTTTCTATGAATATAAAATAAAATAAAGTAAAATACGAAGTGATGTTATTGTTATGCTCTCAATTATTATTATTATATATTTTTATTTTAATTGATTATTATATTTTTTAATTTATTAAAAAATAAAAAAATATATAATATAAAGATATAATAAATAATTATATTTAAAAAATATATCATTAATTATTTAAAATATGACAATAACTCCACCCTAAAACACATTTCTATCTTAGTTAATGGATTTTTTTTATCTTAATTACATAAAAAGTAACTATCTCTCATTTTTTATTTTACCTTACATACTATGTGATTCAAAATTAAAACTTTTTATTTAAAAAAAAATTATTAAATTATTTAAATAATTAATTCACTTCTTATGTTTATGTTTATGCTTTGAGGTTTAGGCGATGTGTTTGTGTCAATTACTTCGTGGGATAGGCGTAATATGGGCCCCATTCGGTGCATCCCCTCATCACTTATTTTTATATATATGATATGTCAGATTCTCAGTCAGTCAATCAAGGCTTGGGATATGAAAACGAGTTATCAGCACATATTCCACAAATCCGGCTATTTTCAATTCCAACCGTACAATTATGCCGTCCGAGGTTTAAAAATATCAAAACAATAAATCAACGAAATGGGAAGATTCATTTACAGAGGATGGGTGTTTTTACCGTCTCTGGATCTATTTAGAGAAAATCTTAAATAAAACCCACAATCTTAGAGGTAACGCCCCTTACCTATAGATCTCCTATCACAATCGGCTTCTTAGTAATTAAAAGTTTTATATTAAGTTACATGATATATTAAGAAGTCTTAAAGGAACTTGATTTATGAAGTGAGTGAAACCAGTATTGTTTGTTACTCACTCAATTAAGATTTAAGGATTTTTTTTATTTATTTTTTTTTTTTATTCTTCAAAAATTATAATTTATTCAAAAAAATGAGTTAAAAAAAATATCGCTTTAATCTTTACATATAATTCAAAAAATATGAAAAGTGTAAATATTTTTAACATTTGTCTAACTAAAACCCAAAATCACCTTAAATAAAATACAAATTATTAAATCTAAACACTCTAGTCTATAACAAGTGTCTCAACAAATAAATAAACCACATTCTTATATGCAACCCCAACGTCCTTCACCTCTTGGGGTGCGCCCGTAAGCTTTAGACTTCAATCCTTCTCAATTCTCATCTCCATTGCGTTAATCCTTTTTATCTCGTCATTAACACTCTATGTACGCTTCAACTCTTCAAATTTTAAGAAAATTTTGAACCAATATGTTATAAAAAACTAATAAGAGTTCGATTAAATTAATATATATTCACTTAAAAATTTTAATTTAAAATTAAAATAAAAAATTTAAATCTTTATATTATTAAACAATCATCCTTTTAATATAATATATATATATATATATATACTACAAACTAGAATGGCAGGCCGCCAATTGGGCCATAGGTCCTCAAAGCTTTAGGGCTTGGGTAAGGTGGAGGTTAGGGCTTCGAGCTCTGTCACCGCCGTGAACTCCACCAACTTGCAACCTAATGGTCGCGCGCCTCAAATGAGGCGTTGGAAGGTTCACTTTCCTGGAAAAATTTCAGCTGCTAACAAACTATCTCTACTAACTTCCAAACCATCTACCTGGTCAAAAAAAAAAAAAAAAAGCTAGAATGGCAGGCCTAATCAATGTGCCAAATTATAAGGCCAACTACCTCTCAAAAAAAAAAAAAACCTACGAAGTAGAATGGGAGGCCTAACCCATGGACCACGGATGGAGCCGATGACGGACGAGGGTGGGGTTGGGGGTGGGCAGCCGCCCTCCTTAAGCTTTTGAAAAATATTTAATATGGTACTCTAACTTTTATTTGTTAAAAATTTTATTTTTATAATATGAATTTCAAGGACCATTTCAAATGTAGAGAAAATATTTAGAATATAAATAAAAATTTTCAAAAAATAAGGATACAATTCAAGTAAAATGAATTCATGTCAATTAATTAATTAAGAATAAGGGTTTTTAAACATTTTTTCATCTATTAAACCCAAAAGAAAATTTGATTATCTATTTAAACAACTTTAAATTTATAATTTTCTTTAGTATTCTTTTATTTTCTTTCTTAATATCTTATGTAAAAATTTAAAGTTTTTTCCTTTTGACATCAAGGTACATTTTTACCTTTCATAATTGAATTTATAATTTTTTTTGTTAAATCAATTTAAGTTAGAGTTCATTTTTTAAAAGAAATATTTAGAATTTTTTATAATATTAGTGTTTATCAATATGATCTCTTAAACGTTAAGAGGAAAACATTTTAAAATTATATTATTTCAATAAAATCAAAACACTCTTATTTCTTCTTTAGAAATATATTGTTTTTATCTTTTTCAAAACAAGTTTATTAAAACATTTAATTGTGTGGTGTTTATCCTCAATTTGTTAAAAATTCAGCTAATAAACACATTTTTCTTTTTTTATTCATTTTTCAATTAATCATTGCATAATTTATTACTATGATATTTTGGTTTTTATTATAATTGAAAAAAATACATTTATTTTTAATTTTTATTAAGAATATATCAATGAAAAAGACCACAAATAAATCTATTTATATATATAATTTTAAAAAATAATTTATTATCATAAAAAATATTCTTAAAAACTTAAATCTCTAACAATAAATTTTATCTACCGAACATGTGCCAAAAACCAAATTTTATCCACCCAACTGAATTTCCCAGCTATGGGCCCAATACTAAGGGCAACTACCTCTCAAAAAGAAAGGGGAGTGAGACCCAATTAATCCCCTCATATACCACCTTTAAATGAAAAGGACAACATAACAGCTCAAATAATGGAGTGAAAACCATCTAGAATCTAGATGTTGTTGTGAAGCGACCCTTCAAAGTTCCATCAACGCCATGACTAGAAGGTGGCTTTTCTAGTTTCTTCTGCCAACCACGTACGCCCATCTACCTCTCGA